TAGCCATTTATTTTTGTTCATATAATTTTTTTTCTTATCTGTTCAAATAACTTTCTCAGACTTTTTAATTGACTTCAGTGATTTCTTTAATGTACAATTGGTTGAAAAAACATTCTGTAAAATGAGCTCACTACATGGTGAAACGTGTACAGCACGCTGTGGTAACATAACCTGAATAACCTACATTAAAATAACATTTTTATCTACAATGCAAAACAAAACACTCCCCAGAAACTCAGATGAATTTGTGTTTAGCACTGCTGCCTCACAGCAAGAAGGCCCTGGATTTAAGTTCTGGGTGGGCTGGGGGTCTTTGTTTTTTCTGTGTGGAGTTTGCATGTTTTACTTCCGTTTCCATAGTTGTTGTATTTTTATTTTTGCATACTTTGGTTCTCTTCCACTGTCCAAAAACTACAACCAGTGATCTCAGTGCATTTTCATGGTTAAATAAAGGTTAATAAATTATTAATAAATACATCAAGAAACCAAGACAGATATGTGAAACTCCAAGACAGAACACAAATTATGCAGGTAAAAAAAAAAAAAAGACAAATGTTACATAATTCCTTATTTGATAGTGGAAAGAATGCATAGGTGCCACAACAATGAGCTTGTCTCCTAACATGGCAGAGGTAGCAGAAAAAGGTCACTGAGCACCAAGGAAGCGTTTAAAAAGGAGGAAAACACTAAATACTTCTAATCCCTAGTTTATTTGCCGCATGGATGGTTAAAAGCTACTCAGCCTCATAAAATTATAACTAAGGGTGCGCCGTACTGTGGAGAAGAGGCACTGATATAGAAAGATAGCGAGAAAGGAAGGAAAAAGATAAAGAAGCTTAGATGATGAGGCGAGAAAGATTGCAAGATGGAGAGAGCGTAGAACAAGGAGGTGGTGCAGAGTGAGAGAAGGAAAGGGGAATTAAGAAGCGGTGATGTGCGGCTCCAAAACATTCCTTAGCAGAATGAGCTGTCACCTGTACCTCTTTTGCCTGGCGATCTATGGTTCACACAGACTGCCTTTGATTAATATATCCCACCTAAATCATTGAAAGTTCCCCTTTCCTTCGTGCCCATAAAATGCAATACACAACACAAATCAGGCCCTTTAAACATTGGAGCCAGATAACAATCGGAAAATAATGCATCTTAGCTGGGCCATCCCGATAAATTGTTCCTTATAACACCCTCCCTTAAACCAAAATCAATTCATCCGCCTCCGATTTTTATTAAAATCTCCGGTAATAAATCTCCCCACAATGTTTGTTCATCTGTTTTTTGATACATTTATATCACTTTCAGTTCTGCTCCACTGTTTCCCCTCCCTATACAGCGTAAAATGGGAAAATCTATTTGGGGCCAATAGAATAGTTAAAGGGGCGTTATGGGCCCCTGTTCTTCAGGTGAAAATGGGTGTCAGTTTATGCGTGTGAATGTGTGCGCCTGTTTGTGTGCGTGTAAATGAAATCAATAAATGTGGCAGTGTGGTGAGTAGATAGCACCCTTCCCCTTGCTTTTCCGATTAACCCAAGCCACTGAAAACCTGACAGCACTATAACAGGAGTGGTGTGCGCATATGAAAGTGTTTGTATGTGTTTACATGTGTGCATTTGAAACTGCATTTGTCTTGATTTAAGCCTTACAGATCCACACAAAGCCATCTTTATACGTTTCATAGTAGTGGCATGTGCTGGCGCTGAGTCTTTGACCAAAACTGTGTTTAAAAAAAAAAAAGGCAAAATAATAGGAAAGCAGCATTTTCCCTCTTTGCACTGTTTGTTGTCTTTACTTATTTCACAAAGTTCAAGTACAATGTTTTTGCTCGTGATAGGGCAGTGATGGATGACGCAAGAAGTCAGATAGCCAGATACAATAGAAAAACAATACAATAAGCCTCATCACCCAGCATTATCTCATTTGTTGAGTGATCAATAATTGCTTTGCAAAGTGCTGGATCAGTCAGAGATGTAGTGTAATTTATTCTTGGAGTTAAAAAATAATTTGTTTGTATTGATTAATGTTAATTAATTATGCTAACATGGTGGGATGAAAACAGCTGTTCAAAGTGCCCTCATACCCATGCTGAGATAAACTGTTCTAAATGTCCTAAATAAACTCATCTAATGTTATTGAAGACCAAACTAAACACAGCAAAAGAATTGGTATGCGCCAGCTTTTGAAATTCTGTGTAAAACGTGAAAGATAAACAAAAATAAACAGCAACACCTCTTGTTCCACGATGTCAAGAAGTAAAGTCATCAGAAATTATCTTAAAAGAAGCAATTGTTGCTGTCCATTGAATTATAGACCTATTTCTAAACAATGCAAAGTCTGTCATTCCACACACACATATACATATATATAGATATGTACCGGTATATGTACGGTACATGTAACAAATTGCAACATGTTCCTAGTTGAGAAAATGGCCTGTTTGTATAAAAACAAGGTGAGTGCTTTGGTAAAAGGAGCTGATTTGTGCTCCTTTATCACTAAATTCTCTGTAAACCAAATTATTTTAAAGTTAAGCATGAGGCCCCACTGGCGTTATGTCATGCTTCAACATGGCAACATTTTGAGCCATGCAATCCTGAAAATCTGAATGATAGAAAAAGAAAAGACCTTTTGCAAATATATAAAGTCCAGACCCCAATATAGTGTTCGAACTGTCTACAACATGTGTGTCAAACTCAAGGCCTGGGGGCCAAATGTGGCCCTCATTAACATCTTATCTGGCCCCCAAGATGATATTTTAAACATAAAATATTTTTGTCACTTTCATTTTTTCAGTAATCTTTGATTATGATGTCAAAAGTGCAACAGAAAATGTCAAATGAGCCCAATCAAACTCTTGTTGAGGAACCTGTAACCAAGAAAAGATGTTGGGTATTTAACTTGAGTTATTCTAGATTCCGAAACTGGCCCTTAGTTTGAAAAAGCTTTTAATTTTGGCCCCCTTTTGTAAGTGAGTATGACAAGATGTCCATAAACCAAAGTCTTCAAACTCTAAATTTATTGAAGTAGAACAAAAAATGGGAGGAATTTATAAGTTCATGCAAAAGATAATTAAAAAATAGATAATAACAGTGTAATCGGTTATGTGTTGTTGCACGTAGAGGTTATATTTACCTGAACATATGGCTTGGTAAAGACCAGACGATTGTTGACTGTTTTCTTGTTTGTTAAACCCTAGAGTAGAAAATGGACGTACAGTAGTCCCTCGCTACTTCGCGGTTCGTTTTTCACAGACTCGTTCTATTGCGGTTTTTCAAAATAAGATTGGACATGACACACAATTGGATGATTGATGGATGAGGCACACTATCGGCATGACATTTTTATTTAAAATAATTTATTTAAAATATTTTCAGCACCAGTGTGCAGCCCAAGCTGCAGGAGAAGCGTCCTCCTGCAGCTGTTCAGCTGATCTCCGCTCTGCAGCAGAGAAGTGGGTGTGGTCAAAAGCGGCAGGTGGCAGAGTACAGCCATAGGCAGAGAGCTGAAACCATGACATTCTGTGCTCTTTTAGAGCATTTAGAGTTTAGAATATTGCAAGAGTGTGGGAAGGGTTTAAAATGCCTTTATA